CTCTGGGGGTTATTTACGAAAACCTGGAGCGTGCGAAATCTGGTGAAACTACATCGAAACAAATCGGCTTCCAGGTTTTATTGTTTTATTTGTGGTAGCAAAATCATTCTTTTTCTCTTGTACCTACAGGTAAGCCTATAATAAGGTAAGGTACAGTAAATATCTCCTAAACGTACACCATCCATTGAGAGAGAGAGCCATGTCGAGGCTCGCATGCGTGGGAGTGATGGCATCACGGTTTGGCCAGTCAAAGGGCCGTAGCCCGTGAACCTAGAGGAAAGACCAGGTGAAGATGACAGCGCTTCGCTGGAGGGCTTCGTTTTCAGGTAAGTCTTTCATAATGTGCTAGTACGTGATGCATACTAGCACATTATGCTCTTAACTTGCAGGGAGAAGTTTATTTTTCCGTGGTTTACTGTTTAAGTAAACAAGCTGAATTTAGAAGCTGATTGGATACCATGCACAGCTGCACCAGACTCCCGAGTGCTCCGGTTTTAGTAAATCTCCCCCTTTGTATATTAAAGTGGACCTGAACTCACTTTAAAAGGAGTTCTATGGTCAAAACATTCATTTTCATTTTATAACATCAGCATTGTAATAGCAGTGCAAATATGTTTATTTTTGACAATCCAGAAAAAAATTACTGTAAACTCCTCTGTAAATATGTTTATTTTTATAATGGATATTCTTTATATGTAATTTACTCTAGGTCAGTTTAAAAGGATAGAAAATAATTCTGATTTGCCAAAAACCATTATAGTGTCCATTTATTTGATGGATGTTCTGCTAGTTGTATCCCTAGCCCCGAATTGCCAGGTCTATCTGATTACTGCAACCAATACTGAGCCAGATGTGATGTCTAACTTCCTTTTTGGGTTGTCTATATTCTGAAACAAACTTAAGGCCTCAAGCACATTGTGTTCTTCTGAACACTTGACACTGCTGACAGGAGAAAAGCAGAGTTAAAAATGCGCCTAAAACTGTGTTTTCAAATGCGTCAAGCATTTAGTTGTTCATTCGTACCATTGGCTAGAGCAGCCTGTCTCAACCGGGGTGCTGCCAGAGGTCTTCAGGGGTGCCATGGGGAGAATGGCTGTCACTGAGCCAGAGCTCCCGATCCCCAGCCGCACTGTACGCCGGAACTGGGAGCCGTCATACCACTGAGCAAAGGGAACGGCAGTGTCTTCTGTGCTCTCTGCTTCCCCCTAGAGTGCAGTACCCAGCTGTGTGATGGAAGCTAAGGTACTGTAACTTTTCATAGTGCTGTATACATGTACCTGTGTGTACATACATGTGTGTAAAATGTTTTTTGTATGTGTGTGTGTGTGTGTGTGTGTATATATATTTTATATTTATTCTTGACCCCCTATTCCTGTCTTATCAGAACTGGCTTTTTTTAGAACTTGTTCGAAATATCAGCAAGGACTGCTTCTCCTCTGAAAAGCAATCCATGCTCAGATTGCTTTTCAGAGGCATTTGATAGGTGGTAAAGAGGCGATATGTTGCCTCCTCCCCACCTGGTTTAACACCAGCATCAATCACCCACACCTGTGTGCAATGTTCCCAGTTGCGGGGTGGTTGTAGTTCAACTCCATTCACCTGGAGGTATACTTCCAGCTGCGGCAACAGCATGTGTATACCCCCAGCTGCTGTTTCTGCAGCTAAAGGGGGAGCAGTTGGGGGTAGTAAAAGCAGCTCAGTTGCGTAGTTCAAACACCCTCCAACCTCACAGGAGAACAGGTCCGTGGTTCACATCTGTGTGGCTGTTCATTTAAATGGGCTGCCTTACCCGCAGGAATTCAGGGAACGTCATCCCTGACCTTTGCTTTAAAATTGCACCACACCCGAAACACCCCGCGTTTGCCAATGTATGGGGTACCCCTAAAGAGCAGAGCATTTGTCAAGAATGAGCGAGATTTCATGTGCATTCCACGACACACAGTAACGTGAACCAAGCCTTGGACAGGGGTGCCTCATGCTTTTTTCAAGGGCTCCCCGACTGGAATAAGGTTGACAAACACTGGGCAAGAGTAGTAGTTTATTCCAGCCATTGAAATAGTTAACTCTCAAGTGCTCAACACACCTAGTGGGTTCCCCCCCCCCCCCCACAAGTTTCTCTTCTGAACATGATTTTGATGCGTTCAGATTTGTGCCCCTTAAACACTTTAAACAAAAAATAATAAATGCACATTATTTTTTTTTTTTTGTGGGTAAAAAAAAAATGTGCATTTATTTTTGTAGGAGCCTGTAATGCATTGTACCAGCGATCAGCAGACCGCGGGTGCCATGCAGGGGATTCCTGCAGACCTGTCTGTGTATCTGCTTGCTTGTACCTCATATGGGCAAGCTGATACTGACAGGAAGAATCAATAAACTAAACTACCACAGCTCTCAGTGTCATGGTAGTTTATTGAGAAATACAGACAGACAGCCGCTAAGGCTGTAGGTATGTGTAGTTTCTCATTCACAGAGTACTGTGAATGAGTGATGTGGCCAGGCAGGCTGCGTGTGTTGTGGTGTTTTTGTTGTGTGTTTTTTTTTTTTTATACATTTTGACAGCCAGTGGTGGGAGAAGAATTGAATACTGGTGTAACACAGGGGTCCTCAAACTTTTTAAACAGGGGGCCAGTTCACTGACCTTCACACACTGTTGGGGGGGGGGGGGGGGCCAGACTATTGTGGAAAAAAAAAATGAACAAATTCCAATGCACACTGCACATATCTTATTTGTAGTGCAGAAAAAATAAATAAAATACAATATTTAAAATGCACTGTACATTGTAATGCACTGGACACTGTAACGCACTGTGCCTGGTGTGCTCTCCTCCTTCTCTCCTGTTGCTCCTCTGGCTTCAGCGAGTGAAATCAGTGGCTTCCCGGCTGCCGCTCGCTGCGTCCTCGTGGCCCAGTACCCAGCAAGGAGCCTAGCTATTTGCTGGCCGGCGCCTTTTTTTTTTTTTTTTTTTTCTCCCGGCTGGCCCTGGGCAGGGTAAATGTCTTTGGTGGGCCGTATGTGGCCCACGGGGTATAGTTTGAGGACCCCTGGTGTAACATGTTATGAATGGTGAACTTATCCTTTAAATGCCTGTAAATGGCTATTTGTGTATGGACACATAGGCTAATATAGAGAGGAATTTAGGGGCAGAAAAAAGTCAAAACTCCTGTAAAACAGACATTTGACAGCTGCAGTGTGTATGAGGCCTAATTGTACAATACAGCACTAAAAGTGTGACGTTTTCATTATAGCTTTGTGGGAGAATGTGGAAATATAAACTACTGTGCGAACATTTAGACATTGGCTGGTTACTGTCTCTTCGCTGCTGTTGTGGTGTTTTTTTTTTTTTTTTTTTTTTTTTTTTTTTTTTAAATTTAGCTTCTGAGGTTGTATTGAGACTTCCATGCTTATTGATTTAGAATGTGGATGTGGCTGTAGGTTTTGTTTCCCTCTTCCTAATTCTTGCACTGACAGACTAGTCATTTTTAAACTTAAAGCAACCCTTACTTTTGCCAATGATTACTGATTCAGCTGTGAAATATTAACCCTACCACCTATCGTGTGTATGTGTGTGTGTTTTTTTTTTTTTTTTTCCTCCTGTGAAGCAAGATATACTTTCCCAAGTCTGATGTTTTGGGTCATTGGCACCATTTTTGGGTGTGGGAACACTAATCCAGCAATGCAAATGCTACTTTGCTGGCCGGTCCCCGACAGTATCCACACACTGAAATCACTCCCCTTCTGGATCCTGAGAGAACCCCACCACTGGACAGCCAATAGGAAGTGTCCACTTCATGCACACAGTTGACATAGACCCCTGGAGAAGGACCTGTAGGTGAGTCAGGCTGTCACTCATAGCCCACCCATCAAATACTCCTCTGCCCTTCCTTTGACTGGCCATCATGTGTCACTGCTCTCTTCAGAAGATGGTAATAAAGAGAATTTAGATGCTGACTGGATAAAAGTCACAATTTCACATTGGTAACAGCACGGTTTAGTCTGCTTGGGCCCTGTTCACACCTCTGAGTTTTAGGTGCAGGGTGTTTATTTAAAAAAAAATAAAAATTAAGAGCCTGCATGTTGCATCTTTGATGTGTTTTCACCAAAATGCACGTTCTATAGAGTTATGTGGCAATGCACTAAAAATGCAATACACCGATGTGAACTTTTTTGTTTTACCTTCATAAATCATATGCATAAAGGTAAAAAACCTTCAGTGTGCAGCTCCCCACTTAGCCTGATCCAGCAATGTGCACAAGGGCAAGCGACTCTCCCGGGTCTCTCCTTCCTCATTTGCTCCCTTTGCTGTTAATCACAGCCAGTGTGGGGGGCACGACCAAGCCAAGGGAGTGAGCATGCACGAGAATCCCCAGAGCAATTCTCTTGATCTGGGGGCACTCAGCAGGGGGAAGGGGCCGGGAGCACTTGCAGGAGGAACCTGAGTAGAGGAGGATTGGGGCTATTCTGTGCAAAACCACAAGGCCTCGTGCACACTGGGTGTTTTTACAGCTGCTGTTTTGGGTGTCAAGCATTTTTTTTCTATAGCCAATAAACTCCCCAGCATGGTACCCTGTGTGTCACATAGGCTTTTATAAGCATTTTTTGGTAGGGGCGGTTTCAGGCTGAACCCCCCCACAGAACTACTGCGTTTGAAGAGGAGTTTTTCAGCTTTTAAAAATGCTCTTAACGCTGCAAAATGTGGCAATACAGCGTTTTTGAGCCTGAAGCTTTTGTGGGAGTATAGTTTTGCTAAAATAAAAATGCAACCACTGATAAATGCTAAAAACCGCAACAAAACTCATTTTTAAAAAATGTTTTTAAAGTGGTATTCTACAGCTAATGCTAATGGCGTTTTTATAACATCTATTGTGCATCCATAACAAACATGGTATACTTGCCTGCTCTGTGTAAGGTCTTTACACAGAGCAGGCAAGTATACCATGTTTGTTTTTTGTTTTGCTTTGTTTTTTTTTATCTTAAAGTATTACTAAACCCAGGACCCTGCATTCACTATATCTGGTCTCCCACAGTACACACTACATGGAAATATAATTATTTTAGTAAATATAAAATGCTAAATACCTTTTCTTAGAAATCACAAGATTGCTCTAACTGCTGCTATCAGTGTTCAGCAGAGCACTGGTTAAAGCTTGTAAGAGTTTTCTTTCTGCGGTAGGAGGATGCAGAACCCCTGACCTCTGTCTGGACAGTGCTGATTGGCCCTGTGCTGATCACATGCACTCTCCCAAGAACAAAAAACCAATACACACAAAGCTGAGCATGTGCAGAGTGTCTCCACACCATATGTGTTATAAGGAGATAAGAGGGAGGCACTGGAAGAAGGGGAGGATCAAAGAAGACAGGTTCAAACAGCCTTTTACACAATGCAGAGGATTAACCCCTTAGGTTCCACAGTGAGTATAACAAGCATGCTTTACTGCATATACAGACTGATTTTACTGTTGTGGGTTTAGTAACACTTTAAAGCTTTATCCTTCAGTATCATTTTAAAGTGCACATTTGAGTGAAGAGTGCTTTTCAGAGTTGATAGAACAAATTATGAAGGTATTGTATGTTTACATGCAAAGAAGAATTATCACTGCAACCTAAAGCTGACGTTTAGCTTAAAAAAAATCCTTACAACTTTAGTCACATAACTTACCTGTAATAAAGGATGTGTCTCTTTTGTGCAGGCAGTTGGATCCTGAAGAAATCTAGTGTTTATGGATGCCCATCCTCTTCCAGTCTGCTCCATGCAGAACAGCAGTACAGATTGTCCAACGGGAGATATGCTCCCTCTTTTCTCCTCTCCATTCAGAAAAGATCTTCTGCTGATTACACCACTTGAACACCAAGTGTGAATAGGAGAGAGAATCCTGTAACTGATGAGACTCTTTCCCCATTCATAGATCATATTACTTGTAATCAGTGAAAGGACATTTCTGGAGGAGGAGTTGAGGGGGCATGTTCACTAGTAAGACCATTTGTATTGCTGTTCTGTCTTAAGACCTGAAGCTGTGAACCATTGCAGCTCTGGAAGAGGACAGGCATCCTTGCAGTGAAGATCTCTCCAGGATCCCACTGCCTGCACAATGTCAGACATAATACTTTACAGGTTAGTGATGTTCCAGGCTGTAGGGAGCTTTTCTTAGCTAAACTTCGGCTAAAAGGCTCCATGTACACGAGCCTCCCCTTACTGCCGGGTGTGCAAAACGCAGCAACTGCGGTACTGCAATTTTGCTGCGTTTTTGCGGTTTCCTGCGGTCGGCAGTCAAAACGTTCTTATCCTCAACACGATTCTTCTGCGTTCAGGAGAGGGAGGTTTAACCTCACCTAAACACAGCAGCTCCTAAACTCTGCTAAAAGCCTATGTGTACATGGACACACAGACTTTTATGGAGTTGAGTTTAGGAGCTCGGGGAAAAAAATGCATAAAGCTCCTAAACTCGAGTTTAGGAGCTGCTTGTGTACGGGAAGCCTAAAAATCACTTTTGAATTCCCAAGGGGGCGCAATGTATGGAAAACTCATTTACATCTCATTTAGATCTGTAACATTGGAAAATAAAAGCACATTTTTATTTGTTTGTGCTGGCTGTAGCTGCACCCCAGGCAGAAGCCCATTTTATGGGTGGTCCTATGGGGATGATACAGCCAGCACTGAAGCTACCACCTTCTCTGTTCTGTGTGTTTCTTTTTCTGCGTAATGTGTCTGGTAATTCAGAACACTTACAAGAATTACAGTTCAGATTGATGCACTGTGCTTGTGTACTGTACTGTTTTGTACTGTACAGATTAGGGATGCACCAACATTTCGGCCACTGAAACATATCAGGCCGAAAATAGCCCTATTGGCATTTTGCCGCATTTTTTTTGCGGGGGGGTGCAGGCGTGGGCTGTGGCCGGGGGGGTGCAGGCGTGGGCTGTGGCCGGGGGGGTGCAGGCGTGGGCTGTGGCCGGGGGGGTGCAGGCGTGGGCTGTGGCCGGGGGGGTGCAGGCGTGGGCTGCGGCCGGGGGGGTGCAGGCGTGGGCTTGCGGCCGGGGGGGGTGCAGGGGTGGGCTGCGGCCGGGGGGGTGCAGGCGTGGGCTGCGGCCGGGGGGGGTTGCAAGGGTAAATTGTGGCCGGGGGGTGCAGGGTTGAGTTGCGGACAAGGGATGCAGAGGTGAGTTGTGGCCGGGTGGTGTAGAGGTGGGTGCAGCTCAGCTCACCTATGCACCCTGTCTGCAACTCGCCTGTCAATTTACCTCTGCGACACCTGACTGCAGCTCACCTTTGCACATCCCCCCCCCCCCCCCCCCCCCCCCCCCCCCCCCACTGCTCTCATATGGTTAGCTAGCTTTGCAAAAAAGCTATCACAGCCGGGCCCTTTCTTTAGTAACTCCCATTTCGGGCCCTATCTTCCCACACAGTGCACCAAGGGCACTCACTCACCGCTCCGCCTCTTCCACACTGACCCCAATCACCCCATGCATTAGGCTGCAGGAGGAGATGCTCCGCCCCTAAACACACTGCGCACTGCAGGTATCTGTTCCTTCCTTGTCCCACAGTAAATACAGAGGTAGGGAGGTTCTGTGGGAGCGGATGGTGCTGTCACTTCAGCTGCGCTTCTGTGTTTACAAGAGACAGTAGATATTGGTGTGTGAAGGGCCAGCGCCAGAGGTGGCGGAATGGCATTCTGCCACGTTCCGGCTGAAAAAAAGCCCTGATCAAAACTAGGTCTTATTTTTGGGGTAGGTCTTATACTTTAGCAATTTCCAAAAATAGTACTAGGTCTTATGCATGCCATAGACCGGTCGTTTATAGGCCGCATTTTCGTCTGCACGAAAAATCGGCCCATAATCACGCAGTTAGTGGGGCCAGCCCGTCGGCCGTTTTTTTCGAGGATCTCATTTATTTTTATCAGTCATGCTGGAAAATCCATGCCAAAACGACTGTTTTTCATGGACATGGGTGGCAGCATCGGCAATGCGGCCGACCGATTTTTCGTTTATTGGCCGAGAAACAGCCCGTCTATGGCCTGCCATATTTTCAGGGTAGGTCTTATTTTCGGGGAAACAGGGTATTTAGTCGGTAGGAAAGTTTTTTGTTTTTTTTTGTTTTTTTTGTTTTATAGAATCCACAAGCTATGGTATATTTCTAAAAATTTTATAAATCGGGATGTACTGATGGCTGATTTCTTTTCTTGAGGCCCAAAAATGCCAGGACAGTACAAATATCTCCAAAATGACCACTTTTCGGAAAGTAGACAGTCTGACGTATTTAGTAAGAGGCATGGCAAGTTTTTTGAATTTGTAATTTTTTTTGTCATGATTTTGTGGAAAATGAATAAATATTTTTTGCAATTTTTTTTTTTTTTTGTTTTGCAAACTGTCACCATTGTAGTACAGTGTCAACATATAATTGGCGTGGCGGTGATTAAGGGACACTGACTGATAACAGGTGATATTTTTTTTTTTTTTTTTTTTTTTCTACTCTGTGACTAGAGCAATACAATGTTACGAAAGTAACGTTTTTCTCTGGGCAAGTGATCAGAATTTTTTTTTTTTAAACCTATTATGATTGCCTATACCAATAAATTACATCAGCTGTGATTGGCCATAGCTGATCACATGCTACAGATGGGCTGTAATTGGCCCAACCTGTACATGTGATCACTGTGACCAATCAGAGCTCGCAGCACAGTTGTAAGCAGTGAATGGCATTAAAGGAAGTCATTCATTGTTTACAACTGTCATGTCATCTGCTGCGATTGGTGACAGCGATCACTTGACACTGGCAGAGGGCTGTTAACGTAGATGTGGGATTCAAGTGATTGGACTGAGATGTGATCAGTAGCAATATGTAATTGTAAATTTAATTTCATTCCTTGTTATTAAAGAAGTATTCAGTCATATATTCAGTCATATGTATTCAGAGACATGTGCTCAACCATTAGCATCTGAAAAGACAGAGCAGCTTCTAGGCTGGAAGTGACACCTAAGTGCCAATAAGATTTTTCTATATATATAATCAGGCTTTGCCACCTACCCTGAAGTTTAAAAGAGGAATGCCAGACATTTCGGCTGCAGGAGACCAGGGGGGCTCCGTTCTGTCTGAGGTGCTTTAAAGTATATACACAGATCAAAGGAATAGATTTCATCTCTCATAAAAGCTAAAATATTAGTTGCAGAGAGATGAAAATATTTCCTTCTGATTGGACACTCTGTAGGCTACACCTGCATGTAAAAACTGTATTTGTGCACTATGTAGAATGCCAGAAAAATGCAGGAAATGGTTATGTGGCGCCGGATTGCGACAGCTGAACAGTGATTGGTACTGTCGCGATCGAGCTGATGCGCTGGTGTCGGAAATTCAATCCCTGACTTGGTGATTCAAACCGTTCCTGTAAAATCAACTTTGGGCATTTCAGGACCCAGAGTGTCCTGTGGGCTGGTACTGGAACACCACCCAGGGTTGATTGGCCAAGGACTAATGTCCAGCCCATGTCCATATTCCCATAAATTGAGGACTTGAGGTATGGATGTTTATTCGAACGGGCGCCTGTCCTATTGACTGATGGATCGCGGACATTTTCTGACTTGTTCCAGTCGCAGGATAAATCTTGGTAAAAGTTTTTTTTTTTTATTTCTGTTTTTTATTCCCTTTTATTTTATAGTGAATAGTCAGTGTGTGTCTTCTTGTATTTTTTGTATTTTCTGTAACTTTTTATACTTTGTACATATTTTATGCACTGCCCAATTTCAGGATATCAAATCATAAAATTAATAAGTGACTTCTGGGTACTTAAGCACGGGCTCATATCTCCGGAGAGATTAGATTGTATTGTATTTTAGGGTCTTTATATGCTCGGTCAAGTTCATTGCCAATCTGTATGCAATTGCACTGCGTGTTGGCAGATTGTAAGGGTGACAGGTCTGCCAGACGGAGATCTGTGTGTGTGTGTGGTGGCCCAGCAGGCCCGTCAAAAACTGTTTGGTGGTGGCAAGCTACCGTTTGTGGTGTGTCTGGTGTGGACAGTGGAAAAGTGATTAACACTGGGGTTCTGGCTTGTAGGATAGCTGGAGGAATCCTAGAAGTGTGTGTGATTGCTAGGCTGCTCTCAACCCTAATTAGTGCATCAGATTGTATGTAAGATCGTATCTGCCTATGTGTGTGGTCAGCCAGCTGGATTGGAGTGGAGTCTCCCTCCAGTGGTGGCCAGAGGTAGCGCGGGCTGCGAAAGTGTATCACGCCCAATCTTATATACTTAGCTATATTCAGATTAAGTCCCCCTTATTCCCTCTTACCCCAAGTCACGGGCGCACATGCACGCCTCGGTTAGCTTGTCGCTGTGGGCGTGTGGGTTGGATCCGTGACAGGCTGGTGCAGTGATCTGTCATCAGCTGTGTCCCGTGGACACAGCCGGTGACAGATTGCGTCGGACTGCGACCTGTGGGACACACGCGAAGCACAATCCTAGGAGAATGTCAGATGATG